TTGGCGAGACTAGTGTCACAGTGCACCTGATTGTGTTGGACAAGCCCTCACCGCCACGCAATTTTCGTGTTGTGAGCAATACTGGTATTTGTATATCGCTGCAATGGGATGAACCTGAATTTATTGGTGCTGGAATGGACGAAGTTTTGGAATACGTTGTTCAAATGCGTTTGCTTCCGAAGCGAACCTTTAAGCCTGTTTCGAAAACGACGATGTTGTGTATTGACGTTGGAGATCTTCAAACAGGGAATTCGTATATTTTCTCCGTTGCTGCTCAAAATTCGGTTGGTTTGTCGGACTTTATTGAAACGGAACCAGTTTCAACCGAGCTTGATTTTGGTACGAGTATTATTTTATGCTCCGTTTTGGCCTCTTTTTTTTCTTGGTTTTTTTTAATTATTTAATTTTTTTTACTTTTTCCTTCATATGCTTTTCTTGAAACGACCTTATTTTGCTGACGTATTCCTTAGTTTGAGCACTTTTTTTTCAGGTGCTCCTTTGGTTCCTACGAACGTGCGTGCTAGGCTTATTCCTGAAAAGGCGCTTCCAGCAGATCAATTAGTCGAATTGTCATGGGATCATGCTGCTGATCATCCAATGACCCAAGTACCAAAGACCCAATTTTTAGTAGAGATGAAACCAGAGGACGCTGACCAATGGATTCCAGTACAATTGGCCGCGCCTATAATTGACACGAGCATCATCGTTCCACTTGAATTGATGGATGAAGGGAAGAATTATCAGTTCCGCGTAGCCGCAAAAAATATGGCTGGCGTCAGCTCATTTTCTACACCGTCGCCACGCTTTCAAAAACGTAAGTTGTTGTAAGAAAAATTTCCTTTAAAGAAATGGCGGTTGGTAACTTTTATTTTTTTTTTAGCCTTTGATGTGGTTTTCACAAAGAAGTTGACAGACGTTCATCTTGATGAGCTTCCCAATGATGCTGTCTTTGAATGTGAAGTGTCAAGGCCTGGGATGTCTCTTCGTTGGTTCAAAGATGGTTTGGAAATCAAACCAGATTATCGATGTGTCTACGAAGTTATCGGTGAAGGCCCTCTAGCCAATATGATTCACCGTCTAAAGGTGATGAATGTTGGGCCTGGTGATCAAGGCACTTATAAAGCTCAGCTAATCAATGGATCAACCACCTCGTCCCAGCTAACAATAAACAGCCCACCGAAAATTAATTATGGGGGAAAGAAGCTAATAACTATTGTGGCTGAAAAGAGTGCAATTGTAGAGGTGCCGTTTTCAGGTGCTCCATCCCCTAAGATCAATTGGTCTTTCAATGGTGGCAATTTGCCCCTTGGGAAGGATGTTGAAAAGCCAATGGCCTCTACTCAAACCGTGTATGGGCTTACTTCTCTGCAGCTACGTCGTGTCGATTACACCGCTGAGGGCTGTTACCTTGTTCAGGTATGTGCTTACACGAGTTGGAGTTTCCTCTACCTTTTTGCAAAAGCTAACCAATTGTGCATGCATATTTTAGGTGAGTAATGAGCTTGGAAAAGCTGAAGTTGAATTGAAAGTTCAAGTAATGGATGTTCCGCAACCAGTGGAAAATTTGAGAGCTGAGATTATAAAGGGCGAACCAACGTCTGCCATTGTCCTATGGGAACCTCCGAAGAAAGACGGTGGAATGCCAATCACTGACTACATACTGGAAAAGCGTGAGGGTACCAAGAGGACTTGGACCCCCGTCGGCAGTTCCTCATTGCAAACTAGTCGAAAGGTGACCGATCTGAAACCTGGACAGTCGTATTTCTTCCGCGTGTTAGCACAAAATGCTAATGGCTGGTCGGAGCCTGCGGAGATGGATCTTCCACTTCGTGTTAAGGCCGCTTCAAGTAAACCACCTAACTTTTGCTTTCTATCTTCTGTTTCCATGTTCGAAGTAAGAATTTTGTCTTTAGACCCACCAACTACTCCTAATGCACCCACAGTTGGGGACGTAACTTCAACCTCTTGCAAGCTTACAATTGAGCCTCCAACCTCTGATGGTGGTGCGCCAATCACCTTTTATCACTTGGAAAAGAGAGCGAACCGAAAGGGAAATTGGGTTCGCGCAACTAATGACAAGCTACCCGTATCTATTCCGACTAAACCTCATACTGTCTCACTGACCGACCTTGTTCCTGATAACATTTATGAATTTCGTGTTGCCGCCGAGAACGCAGACGCTTTGACAAGCGACTTCTCCGTTCCAAGTTCACGCATCTCCACGAAACCACCGTTCAGTAAGTACAAGAGCCTTTGGTCATTTATGTCACTCAGATTGTGGGCGCGAAGCAATGGGGAAGTTAGAAAGATCCTTTTTACATCTCAATTAGTATTCGTATAACCTCTCACATTCAACTCCATTAAAAATGGCCTAGTTGACTACCTTCAGACCAACAAACCATGCGCACAGGTAAAAGAGGGCTTCGAACTTAAATGGAAAGTTAGAACGTTGCTATTAGTGTACTGATGTATTTTGGGATATGTGAAATTACCTAATTGAATACCTGATTTCAATAAATCTAGGCATTAAATGGATTCTTTTACATAAGTTTGTCAGCCAGTTCTCTTTCAATTTTCTTTTACATATTTCTGTAGTCATTAAGAATTTTCGTTTTAACTTAGATGTTCCAGATCGCCCCTCAAAACCAGAAGCAACAATTACAACAGAAAGCAGTGCCACAGTAGCATGGAAACCACCTCTTGATGATGGTGGTGATAAAGTTAGGCGTTACGTTGTACAGTACAAGACCACCGATGGAACTCACTGGGCAACCTGCGAAGAGGAACCCATTGATTGTCAGCTGACCGTCACTAAACTTCAACCAGACTCAGAGTACGAGTTTAGAGTAGCCGCAATCAATTCTATCGGTGCTGGGGAGTTCTCGCAGCCCTCCCAGCCATGTACGCCTAAACAGGCTATTGGTAAGCTTATGTTCGCAATTTGTATTACTTTAATTTCTCTAGTCAAGGGCTATAATATTCGTTTTTTTAAGAATCAGCAAAGCCTTCCGTTTTGCGACCACTGGAAAATGTAACAGTGCCTGTCAACACACCTCTCGAACTCGAGTGCGACTTCAAGTTGGGTGAACCCAGAGCTAAAATTTCCTGGTAAGTCTCTTTTACTGTCTCTTTGTTATCTTCTTCAGCGCTTAGACTAATTTTTTGACTTCTTTATCCAAGGTTCAAGGATGACAAACCAGTACACAAATTCAATACGAGCTCACCAACTGATCGGCACGCCACCTTGAAGGCAAATCGAGCGCAATTAGAAGATGCTGGAATTTTCACCTGTAAAGCTGAAAATCCTGCTGGAGCAGTCAGTACAACCTGTCGCGTTACGGTGATTCAGAAACCATCAGTCAAATTTGAACACCCCCGCGGTTCCTCCAAAATGGTCACTGGTCGTATCAGTGATGGAAAGTTGACTGGTCATGCTCAAGGCCAATTGGTTATTGAAGCTCTGTGTGAATCTGTTCCACATTGTGAGGAACTGACGTGGCTACATAATGGGCAGCCACTTGAGGAGACGCCTCGTCGATCGATTGAACGAGGACTTGGTGACGTTCACCCTAAGGAGAGACCTACTAGTCCCATTAGAACTCGTGAACGTCTTGTGATTAGTACGCTTGAACAGTCTGATAGTGGTGTTTACCGTGTTGAAGCCAAAGGTCCTGCTGGACGAGGTGATGCCACTTTCAACCTAGTGGTCATCGAGAAACCTCAACCACCAGCCTCAGTAAACATCATGAAGACACGTGACACGGATTCATGCTTTATTCAATGGCAACGTCCAATTTCCGATGGAGGGTCTAAGCTCACACAATATGTCGTTGAGAGTTTGACCGTAGCCACGGACAAGGCGGAGACTGCTCCAATCATCGATCGAAATTGGACAACAATAGGAACTACCTTGCCTTCCGAACTCGAATTTAAGGCACGGAACCTTAAATCAGGTGTCCTTTACGCGTTTCGCGTTTCAGCTGAAAATGAAGTTGGCCGTAGCGAACCGATTGAAATCGACACACCTATCGTGCTCCAAAGTCAGCTCCGTAAGTTAACTTGCTGTTGCTTGAACCGGTACTTCTTCTGTGTGTAATTTATAATTTTCTTCCTTCTTTTAGAGCCCCCCGGTGAGCCCACGAATGTAGTGGCATCGAGAGATGGTAATCGTGAAGCCACAGTCAAATGGGAGCCTCCAGAATCTCTTGACAAGCTGGATCTCATCGGATATGTCGTTGAGGCAAGGGAGTCGACAGATATCAAGAGTAGTCCACCAAACCGTTGGACCCGTATTGGCCCTTCAACAGTGAGGGATACGACCAAGTTACGTCTAACTGATCTCAATCCTAGTGTGGATATTCAGTTCCGGGTACTTACTCGCACCCATGCCGGGTTGAGTGAACCATCAGAACCAACTGAGTGGCTTGTCAAACCGGAACCAAAAAGTAATATATTGTTAGAGAAACGCATGTGGCTTATCGTTTACGATTATGTGAGGAATAATTTTATTTTTAGCAAGCTTTGAGGGAACCACCCAAACTCAAGCGTACACCGTGGATGGTTCACCGAAGGATGCCACTGATATGACACCAGATCAACGTTCGAAAGATATTGTCGAACAAATTCGTGAATTCAGGGAGGCTATAAAGCCAAAGACTCCTTCTACCAACGGTACTTTTTTCTTTAAGCTAGTTATCGCAATAATACCATAGACTTTGCACTTCTTCACATGTCTTTTTCTTGACAGAGCCCCCGGAAATTGAAATCACCACAAATAAGTTGTTTAAATGTCGCGAGGGTACAAATCTACGAGTTCCATTGTCAATCAAGAGCACTGTGAAGGCGACAGTAGAATTAGAGTTGGAGAGTGGACGTCCTCTAAGCAGTGAAGCTGCACTTCGTAGTCTCGTCGAACAATACGGAGACTCATACTATGTCAACTTGAAGAATTTGACTCTAACTGACAGTGGTTGCTACCGCATCAAGGCCACAAACGTGGCGGGAAGTTCGTATGCACCTTTTGAGCTCAATGTCATGGCTCCACCACAAACACCCAGGGGTCCAATTGAAGTTCGAGAAGTCAAGCCCGCCAAGGGTATCTATGATGGAAGTACTGTAGAAGTGTCCTGGAAGGTTCCCGCCCTCAGAGATGGTGAAATCCTGGAAAATGCAGTTACCGGGTACGTGATCGAGAGGAAAGATGGAAAGAGGAAGGAATTTGGTCGACCTACCAAACTACAGGGACCTAATAATTGCACCGCTGTCATCGAAGACCTTCAGCCTGGTGTAGAATATGGCTTTAAGGTGTGTGCCGTCAATATTACTGGCATGAGTGAACCCCTCTATTCTGGCCCAATTACAGTCAAAAGTCCGTTTGGTAAGTTTTCGTCCTCATTTACTTGCTTCAAAGTTCCATTGATATAGAACAATTATTTAATTGGCGTACCTCATTGCAGATGCTCCTGGTATTTGTAAAGGACCACTTAAATGCACTGACCAGTCAGCGACTTCCTTGGTGCTTAATTGGCAACCACCAGAGAATGACGGAGGTCTTCCCATCAAGAAATATCACATTGAACAAAATGAAGTTGGATCATCCGAGGGTTGGCAACCTTTGTCCATTGTGATGGCACCTGCCACTAGCTGTCCCGTAAGTGATCTTCGGGAGGGTATCGCATACCGGTTCCGAGTTCGTGCTGTTAATGACCAAGGCGATGGAGAATGGTTGAATACTGAATCATCTGTCTCTCTCAATCGTCCAATCGGGCCACCTTCTGAGCCAGAAGCTCCTCTGCGAGTAGCACCTGTGGACGATACAGCTGCGAACCTATCGTGGCGACCCCCTCATGATGATGGTGGAACCCCGATAATAAGTTATACTGTCGAATCTAGCCACCAGGGCACCGATCAGTGGGTAAATTTGGGTGTCACGAAAGGTACAGAATTTAAGGCGACTAAGATGAACCCAGATGACACTTACATATTTCGCGTCTCTGCCCGTAACGAGGCTGGTAAGACAGGCAGACCTCTCTACTCAGTGCCATACAAGCCGAGCGCACCTCCTACTGCTCCAGGGAGACCTACAGCTCCTATTGTTTCGCATCCCCTTGAAGCTGGTCAGATGGTCCTAGACTGGGGTCCCTCTCCCTTTGGTGGAACCTTGGGTTACGGGCCTCCATCAGAATATCGTGTGGAACGCTGGGAGCCTGTGAAAGATCGATGGGTTCATGTCACTAGAAAACCGGCAGCTGAGGGTACAACGGTCCTTGTCACTGGTCTAAAACCAGGAGAGAGTTACAAATTCCGAGTACTTGCTGAAAACGCTGCTGGTACAAGTGAGCCATTAGAAATGGACAAGCCCGTTCTTGCGGTTAGTCCTTATAGTCCTCCCTCTGCACCTGTTGGGCCGATGCATATATCAGAAGTACAAAAAGGCGAGTCTGTATCCGACGGATCTGCTCGTTTGTCCTGGCAGGAACCAACTGATAACGGCGGAATTCCACTAACAGGCTACATTGTTCAGATGCGTTACGCGAACACTACAGCATGGCATAAAGTTGTGCACTTACATGAGCCTACGGTTGATGAGGATACTGATGTGGTTCTTCCGACGACCACACCAGTAACAGGACTTAAGCGCTCGAACGGATACTACTTCCGTGTTGCTGCGATCAATCGAGCTGGAACTGGACCATTTTTAGAATCTGAGCTATTCGAAATGCCCGAGGATGAAAGTAAGTCATTAGGTTTTGTAATTCGACACACTCCTTCAAGCCATAATATGTATTTAATTGTTCTACAGGTTGCAGACCAAAAGCTGAATGGATTAGAGTTGCCGGTAAAGGTGCAGACAGTGTCACCGTCGAATGGCTTGTTCCACATGATTGCAGAAAGGATCATGGTCCCCATAGACCACATCATTTAGCTCTTGATGGATTCAGAGTGTATGTAAAGGAGGCAGGAATTCCTAGTCCTGAATGGAAAGCTGTTGCTGACCTTGATCATTATATGAATCGCCTTGTTGTGGGTGGATTAAGTCCTGACAAAAGCTATTACTTCGGCGTTGCGGCTGTTAACCAACTGGGGCCTGGAGAGATCGTCTCTACCACAGAACCCGTTTCTCCAGAAGCCGTTACTAGTAAGCTTGACTTGAGTAAACTGTGTTGGTCAAATACTTCCATGTAACCAAAATTGGTTTTCCTTCATAGCTGTTCCTGGGCAACCTGTTGGACCGCTTGTGGTGTCTGATATCACTCAGGACAGTTGTGTGCTCAGTTGGAAAGCGCCGTACAGTGACGGGGGCACTCCCATTACCGGCTACACTATATTCAAGCGCGAGATGTTCCGTAGGAGTAATCAAGAGGTTGGACGTATTCCTGTTGTTCCTGGTAGCCTTCAACGAGCATTTGAATTTAAGGTTCCCTACTTAATGGAGGGGACTTCTTATGAATTCCAGGTGGTGGCTGAAAACAAAAATGGTTTCTCTGAACCCCTTGTCACTGCTGCCGATGTTCACCCACGCAAAATGACAGGTACCTTGATGAACACAGACTGTATGAGATGGGGATGGAAAATACACACTAAAATTTGATCAAGCTTAATCGACTTCACACTATTTTGTGTTCACATGTTTAAAAAAGCAAAGGCATTTTCAATTTATGTCAGCGGCATGTAAGCCGAAGACACTTGTTCGTTTAAAAGCTCTGTAATAAGTGTCTTTCGTGAGGTTCAAACCCAACTAATTTGTAAACAGTCCTATTGATTAAGCAAATTGCAATGCCCAACCAAGTTGTGCCTTTTTGTGAACTTAGCATGAATGTACGGTAATTGGTGTAATGCGCCTCGAGGCGTCCTCTATTCTACTAATGCGCTGTGTCATGGAAGTTTTAAATTACCCACGCGTATGTTCACTTTCTTGACGAATATTACCCTCTAGTTTTCATTAGTTTCCTACTCATTCTACTTTTTGTCACAATTTTAGAACCACCCGGAGCACCAAGAGGACCACTGTACGTTCGTGATCACGATATTGGCCAGGTTGAATTGGCTTGGGGGCCTCCTGTGAACACAGGCGATCTACCAATAAAGGGCTACAAATTGGAGATGCGGGAGGGACGAAGCTTTACTTGGAGAACCTATCCCAACGAGGAGAGCATAGTCTCCAATAGGCCTGAAGAGCTCATCAACCCTTCAGTGGTTGTATCGGGAATCAAACCGAACAAAGAGTACTTTTTCCGAGTTTCAGCTATCAACAGCGATGGATGTGGACCTCCCCTTACTGCAACTGACAGCTATGTGAAAAGACTACGTCTAGAACCACCGAAACGTGTAACTGCAAAAATAGCCCCACCTTCCGAGTCAGGTTCTGGAAAAGTAGAGGTCGCATGGATGTCACCAGATGTTCCCAACTTGAATGGTTTCACTGTGGAAATGAAGGACACTGAAGGTGTCCAGTTGGAGTGGATTCAGATGGACTTTATTCCCAAAATGCCAAATGAAGTTGGAAAGACCGCCTACACGTACAGGGCAACAGCTCCAAGACCAAATTCTGTCTACAAATTCCGAGTTAACGCGGTCTACCCCGAAGGCAAGAGCGATTGGGTCGAAACAGACTTTGTTCTTGCTTCTGAACTACCAAGAGAGTCTCGCATACCTCCACCAATCACGGAAGCCAAATTTGTACCATCTGCGGCAACTCCTGGTGGGAGAATACCAGCAACGCTTCGCTGGGAAACACCGGCAAGTGGAGATGTCGATTCTATTCGTGGGTATGCCGTTGAGAGCTGGGATATCAAACGTCGTACATGGAAACCAATTGCCCATATACCGAAGGAGGCCCCACGAGAGTTAACCTTTGAGCTGCCTCCAGCTCGTTCTACACCACTAGTGCGTATAACCTCAATGGGTGATACGACTAGATCAGCTCCATTCGAAGTGCCTCTTGAGCGAGCAAAGCGAATAGAAAGGACGGGTGAAATTCCAGATGATTGGAAACCTTTACCTTCCGTTACTGCACCTATCAAACCGGAGTACGATGCCGCCGAAGAACTTTCAATGATTCGTACCGGTGCTGCTACGCCTTTTGTCTCAGAATTCATTCTCCAAAGAAGACAGGCTGCCTTGGATATGATTCGTCGATCTACCGCGACACCTAGGTCGGCAGGACTTGACACAACACCACTCGAAAGATTCTTCGCTGAAACACCCTTAATTGAAACACTTGATTTGCCTCCAGTATCATCAACACCTCATCCTCTGGACCGTCTTAAGGTAACAGATATTGGTAAGACAACAGCTACAGTTGAATGGCCGGAAATTGGCGATCACAGTGGCTTTACTGTTGAACGCTGGCGTCCCACCAGTGGTCGATGGACTCGATTGGCAGAAGTACCGCCAAGTGAAACGAGGTACGTAGTACCTTTGTCAGAAATTCCACGAACTGCACCCTCTGACGAAGAAGTGCTTAGCAATGTTTGGGTCCGTGTCGTCCCACGTGATGCTGAAGGGCGACCATCAGGTCCTCCTTTTCAGATGGAAAAACCAATTACTCTACCTGGTGGAGAATTTGCTCCGTCCTCTGTTTGGGGTGTTGATATATCACCTGTTGCTGGTCTTTCAACACCTGGGCGACCCGTCGATGTATCATGGCGCCCTCCAAGTTTCACTGGTGGATTACCTCTGACCGGATACAAAGTCGTAGTAATTGATGCCGACACAGAGGAACAAAAATCTGTTTTTGTTGGGCCTAAAACAACTACGTATCGTCTGGAAGGACTGAATCCGCAACATGATTACAGAGTTTCAATTACAGCAGTAAATCGCATTGGGGAGTCAATAACAGTAACTTCAACCATTCCAAAGCCACCTACACTTAAAGATCAGCTTAGACGCCCACCAGCTCCAACATCAGTAGGATTAGTTCCGATTTCAGGTGGTTCTCCTGAAAGCAAATCTGGCCTTCTGTCATGGAGACCGGGTTCAGCAGCTGGATCACAGCCAGTTAATTCCTACGTCATTGAAAAATGGGATTCTTGCAGCAAACAATGGGTCCCTTTCAAGAAGGTCGGAAAAGAAGTCACCGAAATCACCATTCCTTACCTTTTGAATGACATTATATACGCTTTCCGAGTGCGAGCTCAAAATGAAGCTGGACTGAGTGAACCTGGTATTGCAAAAGAATTCTTTAGTCCCGGAAAACCAATCGAAGAACTCCTTTTCCCAGGTGAAAAATCACTACCAGCACCACCCAGAGGACCACTAGTATACGAGCCACTAACCTCAAAACAACGCTTTGACCTTGCCACAGAAAAGGCGATGAAGGTGATGGAATTCCACTGGGAAGAGCCTATTATGACAGACCGGTTCTCAACTCCAAAGTCTTATATTCTTGAAGCAAGGCGATGTGGACAGCAGAAGTGGGCCATGGTGGGTCGAAAACCTATTCCAGAGGGTAGTCAGTGGAAAGTGGCCTTTGGCTCATCCCCACCCACAGTGATGCCTGCACCAGATATCGACATGAGTCTCCCCTCATTACCAGTGCGACCTCTCACTGAACCAAGAATCGCATGGCTACCTGGAGAACCGAAGGATTATGAGTACCGTTTGTCATCAGAGAATGAATACGGATTCAGTGAACCAATTTACTTGAGACAATCTGTTTCAGATCTGCCTAGACTATACTCACCAGTGAAATCACTCATTAAGGAATCATCCAAACCTGCAGAAATCGAGCCACCTCGTGGACCAATTTCAGTTGTCCATCTGCTGCCTAGACCAATGAGTCGTAGAGGATCCTTGGCTCCTGACCTTCCGCTAGGACCGAAACCTGTGCCTGATGTTCTGATTTCTTGGAAGCCACCATTATCCACTCAAAATATACGTGGTTATGAAATCGCCTATCGTGAACCCTTCCGCACTGCATGGACTCATTTAGGTGTGGTTGATGCTGGGGACACCAGTTTCAGAATCCCAAGAACAATGCTAATGGAAATGTCGAAAGCTATTCACATTGGAATTTCATCTGTTGGTGACAGACACACTCGAACAACTCCATACCTGTCTCCACGACTTGAAGATACGATTTTGGTACCTAGACTAACCGAAGAAGAAATACTGACTCGTGGAGAGCTTTCTACGCCTCTCTCCTCTGCCTCTGTTAGCGCTCGGGTTATTGACAGACCATCCATAGGAGTTCCACCTTCAGATGAAGTTGAAGTCTCCTGGTATTTCCCTGAGGCAGAACGGCAAACTAAACGCCCCGAGGCATATGTTGCCTTCTATCGAGAGCTTGGTAGTCAACAATGGCGAGAAATTGACCGTTTCCCTGTAAGACGTCCAAAGGATACCGTTATTCTGCGTGAATTGCCTCGGAATACAACCATGTTCATTGGAGTCGCGCCTCTTGTATCAGGTCGAATTGGACAAATTTTGAGCACACCTGATACCGTGAGGCTTCCAGATCGCGGGGTTGAAGATGCAATTGGGCCTCTGTTTGAGCGTAAGCCCCTTCAAATCAGACCAACTTCTCCTGGAGGCATTGAGGTTTCCTGGACTCCACCAACTGCAATAGGAGATATGCTTGCATTGAGTCCAGGAAATGTACCTAAGTATGAACTTCAAGTGCGTCATCTTGGGGAAAGGTTATGGCGCCCCGTCAGCTGGCCAGAGCCAAGTGAATCCTTAGAAAGACCTTCACTTGGTGAACAGCCTGTTTCATTCACTCTCCATGATCTGCATCCGGGTGATAACCTTGAACTGCGTCTGCTTGCCTATTCAGATCTCGGAAAAAAACCCGTCCAAGTCAGTGCAGAACAAACATACAAATTCATCTCACCTTATGGTAATTCATTTTTTTGTCCACCTAAATCCCTTATCCATTTGGACTAATTTTGTTTCTGTTTCTTATTTAGATATTCCTTCAGCTCCTAGAGGCCCCTTAATGGTTGAGCGAAGGCCTGTGTTGCCATCGAGGCTTCCCACACTTTCACCAAGAAGGAAGTCCACTGATGACTTTGATGAACTTTTATATCGGCTTTCAACATTTCCTGGCGCTTCCATCACACCAAAGTTCCAGGAGCGTCGCGAAACACCAATTGATGTAGTAAATCTGACCTGGAGTCCCCCTATTGACACAGGTGGTCTTCCGATCATCCACTACCTCATTGAGCGGCGTCCATATGATAATCGTGGACTTCAAACTTCATGGGTTCCTGTCATGACAGTTCCTGCTGACCAGACATCAGTACAACTTCAACCGGGCATGGGAAGGTCCAACACAGAACCATCGTTCTATCGCGTCCGTGCGGTCAACGTTGTGGGACCAGGTATGCCACTAGAGGCTCTTGAACCGGTAACTTTAACTACTCGTGGCAGGTCTCCTGTGTTTGAAAAGGGACCAGTTCAGAAGTTACCAGAAGCCCCACTGGGTCCTTTGAGAGCTGAAATCCTTCCTGATTCAATGGTTAGCTTGAGTTGGAGAGCGCCTCGTCAATGGCGAGGTTATTCTCCACGCCAAAATGAGGGCTTTACGACTCCAGTTTACCCACAGAAATACATCATTGAAGCGACTTTAGCAGATGATTCAGCTGTACCATGGCTTGAGGTAGGAAAAGTCCCGGGCTCAATTACCGCTGCTACAGTTCGAATACCGTCCATTAGCCTCTTCTATCCTGGTACTTCTGTTGAGACCCCTAGACCACGACCACTTTTGTATCGTGTGCGAGCCGAAAATGAATATGGATATAGTGCTCCATTGACAACGCGTGTAAGACCAGAATTAAAATCGCAAGTGCCATTGTCCAGGCTCCCCAAGTTGCCGGATGTTCCCGTTCGAGCACGAATATTGGAACCTCTGGAAGAGTATGAAGTGGGCGTCCCTCCGTCGCTTGAACTTCGGTGGGCTCCGTTCGTACCACCTGCTTTAATACCAGGAGCTTCGGGTCGAACTCCTTCAATTGATTATAGTTACCATGTTGAATATCGACCCGCTGGTGAACTAGGTTGGAGACATCTTGCTGCCTTACCGCTTGGTCATGAACGCTATACTTTTTATCCACCAACGCCTCCTCGTGGCCTTGAACAGCCCAAATCAGAAGCCTTCCAATTCCGCGTCGGTGTCCACGGGCCACTTGGAGTAGGAGAGTTCCGGGACTCAAACATCGTCTCTTGGAGGTATCGTATTCGTACTCCTCGTTCAGCGCCTCTGTCAAGCTTGGAACCTATTTCGACAGCTCGAGCTCCACTTGACTTGGAGTTAGTCCGCACAAGGGTCGATACACCGAGAGAACCCTACATGGCACCAACTGGAAGTATTTCACTGAAATGGAGAGTGCCATCATACGACAGAACTGCTGCACCAGAAAGTTATGTTGTAGAACGCTGGATTCCTGATACAGGTACTTGGCGAACTCTGAGCCACAAACTAGAGGGTCGTGGTCCCGGCATATACGAAGCAACCGTACATTCTCTTCCCATAAATGAACCCCACTTTATTCGTGTCTCCTCCATCGACCACATGGGAACCAGCGAACCGGCTACTCTGCCTTATCCCATTTGGATACCGATCATTGCGCCTAGTATTAGACCTGGTAATGCTTAATTTAGAACAATTTCTGCTTTCCTGCAGCCTAATGTTGACACTTCCTCTTGATTAATATTTAGCTGCTCCGGAGCCACCAAGAAACTTGGAAGTTACGCCAATTCTGCGAGATCGGCCCGGATTCTTGTTAACATGGACACCTCCTGAAGTTCCCTTCAATAGACGAATGACTGAGATTCCAACATTGCCATCTGGTTACTTGGTTGAGTATCGATCAGCTGGAGGCGACTGGAAACCGCTAGCTGACTTGCCAGCATTGCAGACTGACTTGGAAACAACTAACGTGGAACTAGGCAAATCGTATGAGTTCAGGGTAATGTCAAAAGGACGACTAGAGTCTACCTCACCAACTTCGGTAACTCGTCGTCCAAGTAGGCCAATCTACCCTGAGACTTCCTCAGTCGTTATGAGCAAGCCTATTATTTCTGGTCCTCATGCTCTTCCCAAACAACCAGGTATGCCTAAGCTCTGAAATGTGCTTGTTATCATAAGTAATTTCCCTTCTGTTACACCATATTTTATCTCTTTAAGTTCCTCCACCAAGCATCGGCGGATTACTGAACGTGACTCCAACACGCGAAGGTGTGGAACTTTCATGGGAACCTCCACGAGAACTTCCTTCAGGTTATGTAATTGAATGTAGGCCTTTGGACGATCAACGCCATTTATGGAGAACTGTTGCCCATATTCCATCAGCCGATCGTGGGCTCCCTATATCGAGTTTCCTCATCCGTCATTTGGAAGCTGACAAATCCTACCGATTTCGGGTAATCCCCTACCGAGATGAGATATACGGTCGACCGGTCGAAAGTTTGGTTCCCTATCGTGTACCTTCTGCTGATGAAATCGATTTCCATCCAACACAACGCCCAAGAACTATTCCACCACCTCGTGGACCGGTAACCATTGAGGAGCTCTCAAATCGAGTCTTTCGGCTCAGTTGGCGTCCTCCTGCCATCGACCTCAGCACACAAATTTCAGGTCCTATCACGTACGTTGTTGAACAACGCATTCCAGGGCGTCGGCAATGGATTGAAGTTGGTCGGACACCAAACCTCAGCTACACAGTTGATTTAGACACAACCTCGCAATTCCGAATAAAGACTCTCGTAGGTGAACCGTCAAGCATTCTTCATAGAGCAGAATATCTTATTGGAAGTGACGATGGCCCGCAATCGGATTGGATACGGCTTGATGAACAAGCTATTAAACCATCACAAACCGATGCCTTGAGACTTTTGACAAGGGACTCCTCCATCAAAGTGGAGGATATTACCATTCCAAAACGACTGTACACGCGTCATATTGGCCCTTCTTCAGTGTTACTTGAATGGGACTACCCGAAGTTGCCGGACCGTCCAACAGGCCACCTATATCTCGAACAGCGTCTTGTTCCTGACTCAAGGACTGACTTTGTCCAACCTCTTTGGGAACCAATTGCACGTATTCCAATTTCGAGTCTAAGGACTAGCTATGAAGTGACTGATTTATTGCCAGGACATTCATACCTCTTCCGTCTAATCGATAGGAATGCTGGAAAAGAAGTTTTGCTCTCTAAGCCTGTACGAACACGTGGGGGCGATTTGAGAGGTGCAAGTCTACCTAAGGATATGGACTACCTCATGATGCCAAGAAGCTTCACAGCCGCTTTCAATCGAGTCCCACCAGGTGGACTCCGCTTTACATGGTTACCATCAGAAAGTCTGGAAAGTCAAGCAGGAAAGATTCGTTACCGAATCGAAGGGCGTTCAGTGGACGACAATGTGAATGCTTGGAGATTGTTAGCAAAGGACATCAAAGGTACTGAGTACACCGTGGATGCTAGTGAATTGGAGAGATCGCTTTTCCTCCATCGTCCTGCCAGAGATACACCGAGAGGTGATTCTAGGGACTATCATTTTAGAATCATCGCTACCGTCGACGGAGTTGACAGCCATCCAAAGCTGTTGCCAAGGCCTATTTCAATAACAACAGAAGGCGGTGAGTTGGGTCTAAATAGCTTCGCAGTCTTATTTAGTAACTTCTGGTTTCGAAATTCAGGTAGGGAATCTGCAAATAAAAGCAGACAAATTGAAAAACGTCTAAAAGTAGGTTTTTAAACTTAAAACATCAAAAAAGTTTTGCCAATCAACCCGCTTCTAATGAAGAATAACGCTGTGATGTAAGAATCGAGTTAGATTAGTACTAATTCCATTCTATGCTTTTACCAACATCAACCTGAATAAATGATCTAGCTTGCCTTACAGTCTTAATCTTTTCGACGTATCATTTTAGAACGTAAGAAGTTGCGTTTCCTAAATGTGGATGAGAATCGTGATGTCAAATGCGTACTGGGCCAGACCTTGGTAATCATTTTGGAGATTGAGGGCTCACCGAAACCCTCCGTTTCATGGTAAGCGTCCTAGAAATGTCATTGCTTGCTCAGCATAAGCTCTGGAGCATAACTGGACTCTGCCTTTTAGGTTCTTAAATGGTGTTGAAATATACCCCGAAATCGATCGAAATTACCTGGTCCTCTCGAAATCTCCTGGTGTCTACGAACTTCGGATAAACAACATTGATTACGTCCACGAGGGTAGCATAACTTGCAAAGCCAGAAATATTTACGAAGAGATCGAACTGTCCTGGCAGATTCACATTGATGGTAGGCAATTATATGACTAGCATTGCTTTTAATATCAAACTATGGTTTGTAAAACAATTGTTATGTTGCAGCCCCTGTGCGATTCAGTCGTACCGTCTTCCTGACTGGCCAGAGTGATCATCGTGTGACAAGTGGTGCAAATTGGAACGTGCGTCTTCCATTGGATGTACCGTACCACGTGACTGACAGATCTCATTGGGCTCACCGAACTTGGGTTGAGTGCGTCTGGAAGCCACGTAGTGCCTCTACAGATGCTGTTCTCCTCGCAGAACGGCGTGCAGTTGTCAAGATTTCGGACTGTGGTCGATGGCTAACGCTTGACTTGCCGGGAGTGCATGTCCAAGATGAAGGTCTCTATCGCATTTGGATAGAAAACGAAGCAGGCCGCGACTACTTTGACCTCAGACTCCACGTCGATGATAAGCCGAGAACCAAACTGCAGCCACCCAATGTCTTTCCTCAAGGTCACTGCCAATTCCTTCTTAGTTGGCAGCCACCACCCTCTACGGACGATGCGATTACCAGTACTGGCTACCGAATCGAGTACAGTTCTGCTAAACAAATGGAAACTGAGGAAGATTGGCAACTTCTTGGAACCACTGGAATCAATCAGACTGAGGTATTGATTGGCCCCCAGCTGAAAGCTGGTGAAAGATACCGATTCAGAGTTCGGCTACAAAATTTGCTAGGCCTTGGTCCTCCAAGCGAACCCTCTCGGTTCATTTGTGTGGAGAAAACTGAGGACGAAGTAGAGGACCGTTCAACCTCTCGTCATCTGTATTCCCGAGAACCGATTCGGTTCAGTAGCAGAAAGTTTGAGGACCGGTATGAGGTTATAGAAGAGCTGGCAAAAAGCCGACATGCATACCTCTACCGAATTCGAGATCGAGAGACGGGAGAGTACAGAATAGCTAAAATCATGGACTTGGGAGATCTTTCATACATTCCTGTTAGCCGATCTTACACTTCATTAGCCGACTTCCGCGCGTCAGTTTATACACCATCGACTCGTATCCGACACGAGGCTGAAGAGGACCGTCGCTTGCGTGCTGAGAAGGAACTTAAACTTCTTGCTTCAGCACATCATAAGAATATTGCTGAACTTCGCGATGTTTTCGTTGATGCTCAGCGTTTGATTTGGGTTATCGGTGACATGGCCCCAGAAACCCTCTGGGATCAGATTAAGAACCGCATCAGCATGACTGAAGTCCGGGCTGCAGTAATAATGAAGCAAGTACTAAGCCTCATAGAGAGCTTACACGATCGCAACGTGGCATTTCTCGGTAGTGTAGATCCATCCGATATATTCTTCACTGACAAGTTGCGTCGAAACATTGTCCTTGGCGGGGTTTCGGAGTATCACAAGTTGACTGAAGATAAACCCGTTCGATTGACCTTCAGGTCGACAATTTACGTTCCTCCTGAACTCTACTCCCCCAATAGGCTTGCGACGAATGTTCGCCCGCATGCTGAAATTTCAAAGGCCACAGATGTGTGGTCTGCGGGTGTCTTACTCTACCAAATGCTGACAGGAGACACTGAGCATCGTCCAAGCATTGAAGCACTTGAGAAGCTTAACCTGTCGCCTGAGCTACTCGATTTCTCGCGTAAGCTCCTTCATCCAGATCCAACTCTTCGGCCAACGATTGCTGAGGCTCTAAGGCATCCATGGCTTAAGACTGAGAGTCAGACGGCGGAAGAAATTATCTCTCAGAGTGCTCGCAGACTAGAAGAGGCAACCACCAACGCTTACAAGCGCCTTCTTCGCAAGATTGACTGGAGTGAGAAGGTCGATGAGGAAGACACTGATTTCGTTGATGAAATGGAACATGAAATTCAAAAAAGGAGGAGGCTTATTGAGTATCGCAAACGTCGTCGCAGGAGTCTTGACGAGTACGGTAAGGAAAGAGACTATGAAGATGATGAAGGCATTGTGATGAACGTCTTCCTCCGTGGACGTGGACGCGTTCCTACGATTGCCGTTCCAATGGCCAATGCTGATGCCTACGAGGGCAGCGATACTGTAATGAAATGCGTTCTGGCTCCACCCGCTGGTGATCGGCTGGATTTCAGTGATGTTACTGTAGAGTGGTCCGTAAATGGAAAAATTATTGACTTAGAGCATCCTAGCCTTCGCATGACAGAAAAGTATGCCGCCAAGTTTGATCGTACGACTGGTGAGGCTACACTGCGAGTGAAAAATCTAAGTGTCTATGATGCTGGTACATACGTAGCCACTTTCCGTGGAAGTTTTGGAATCATATCTGAATCGGCCAACCTCAAAATTCATCGTATGTTTCTTCCCTGTTAATTACACATATGTACCTACATTTGTAAAAACTTTCGGTTTCATCTAGGCGGAGCAGCACCACGCCCATCATCACGAGGAGTAGATACGCACTTGGCTAGTGAAATCGGTGCGAAAATCCTTCGACCTCTTGTTGACCACACTGTGGTGGCTGGAGAATCCCTTAAATTCCGAATTAGAGGTAGATCTTGATCCCTGGAATTTGGTTTATTATTTTGAAGAACTACAAAATGCATCCTTTTTTAGTTGGTGGTATTCCTCGACCTAAATGTTCATGGACACGAAATGGTCTATCATTGGACAATAATCCAACCTGTCGCATCCAAGAGGAACCTGTTTCTACATCCATCAGCCGTTCCAATGAAATCGTTTGCACTCTTGAGATTCGCAACACAAAGCTTTCTGATGCTGGCACCTATTCAGTCAACGTTTACAACAAGAATGGTTCGGATACTTGCTCTGCATCCGTTACCGTGCTTCGTAAGTCTTCATTTATTCGGTTCATCCTAATTGGAAATTGAAAAATAATAATTTACTAGAAATAACTGAAAATTTGTCACCATTCTACAGCGGAACGCACTTCAGGTTCTTCGGTTCCAAAGTTCATTACCGGCCTCTCAAACACTTCCACAGTTGTGGGCGGAACTGCCACTCTGGAAGCTGAAGTTGAAGGTTTCCCCGAGCCTCAGATCCGCTGGTTCAAAGATGGTCGTATGGTGGTTGTTGGCGGTCATATTAGCACTACAGCTACAGAGACTAACACCATGAATCGCCTTACCTGTCGTCTTATCATCACAGGCTGTCAATTAGAGGATACTGGAGCCTATGTTTGCGCAGCAACAAGTGCATCCGGCACAGCCATCTCTGAAGCCTCTGTCATTGTTAAAGGTAACAGTTCAAAAACTAGCCGAATTTGCAACGCTCGTGTATGAAATATTGACATTTTCTTCTTGTTGTGGTTAACGAAGGTGGATTCATGAGCTCAACAAGACGAGATTCAGAAGGCAGACTGTCGGTCACACGAAGCCATCCCCCCGAATTCGTCCAACGCCTTAAATCCCGTGTGGTGGGTCTCGGAGACTCTGTGCGTTTGTCTGCCACCGTCATGGCAACACCACCCGCCAATGTAACGTGGGAAAAGGATGACGTCCCATTGATAACAGACTCGGCCAATTCACCATACCAAACGAAGGTACCTTGTCTTTGAGTATTCGGTAGTATTTTTCAACCAAATCACTTAACGCATCGTGATTATTGTGCAGCATTCATTTTTAATGCGTCAAGCATTCTGAGTGTATTGTTATTCGCAATTAGTTTTAGGAATAGCTCATTCATTGTCACGAACACCTTACTCATCTTTATGTTAAATAGAACTTGAATGGAAATGTGGAATTACGCATTGAAAAGTGTACAGCATCGGAGTTCGGCAAATATACACTCATTGCTTACAACAGTGCTGGTGAGGCACGCTGCTCATGCCAGCTAGAGAAGGCTCATGAAGAAGTCTTCAAAGTTCCTAGCTTTGTGCGTCAACTTGTGGACCGATATCTCATCTCAGGACAAAAAGCTATCTTCGAGGTGATTGCTGAAGGTCACCCCATTCCTGAATTCAAGTGGTACGTTCGCCTACGTTTTTGGCTTGATTAGCGATCTCATCGCATACATTTGCGAGTTTGGAGCATGTGAATAAATGCTTAAAGGATTTTCAAGTCTGCGATATTTAAAATGAAATAATCATTTGCCAGACTTAAATAACCTTCGTGTGCAAGTGTTATTTTCTTTTCGTCTTCAACATACCAACATAATTGATTTTTTTTGCGTTTATTCTTTGTGCCAGGGAGAAAGACGGCCTTGATATTCGACAGGAATCCCATCCCCGTTACGTCTTCGCTGCCTCAGCTACGTCTGGTAGAGCGACACTGACGATTCCTGTTGTTGAGAAAGAGGACGCTGGATTGTATTCCTGCGTCGCCCATAACCCTGTGGGGCGTGACCGATGCTCCTGCCTGATTCACGTGGATGGCGGTGGTGTGCAACAGAGGAAATCAATATCTTCTGCCTCAACATCCGTTACTGATAGGGATAAGCGACCACCACAGCCACCGAAATCGCAGCCGATTACCAAATCAGGCCAAATTGAGGTGGTTACAAGCCTTCCTGCTGTCCTAGAAATCAACGAAGGTGATGAACTGCGACTCTTCTGCGCTGTCAAATCGGATGTACATCTTATTCGTAAGTCCTATGACCACCTCGGACATAGTGTCAACCACAAGTTTCCGATACTTAAAGCTGCTAGTCTTTCTCTTTTATCGTCGAATTATAAATTTTGCAGCAACTTGGACAAAGGCTGGTCGCACACTCACTTTCGACGGTCGCCGCAGGATCACTCGCAACCTCATGGGAGAGATGTGTCTCACGATCGACCAAGCTATGACCACCGACGCTGGTAGATACACGCTCACAGTTGCACCTTCGGACGCCACCTTGTCAGAGACAATGGAACCTGTTGTTCTAAATACGCGTGTTGAAGTCAACCCCAAAATTCGCTCCCGTTTAAGGTAGGGTTTGCTCCCAGTTATTTGCGTTATTTACTTCCCATGTAACCGCAAAGGGAGTTTTGAAACCTGTTTTCTCGTACTTTTCAGAATAAGTAATCAGATGGAGACGCACGAAAACTTACGCTCTACCCGTTCGTGGTCACGTCGCGAAAGTGGCTACACGTACTCTCGTAGCTCCAGAGAAAGGTCCTTCCTGCGATAAGTTGTGTCCTGGCGACTCGTCTAATTTCAAATCCCCTCTGTAAAAATCAAGCTGACATATTGTGCATAACGAACATCCACAAAGACAACTGGAAACATAACTTTAGCTAAACCTTTTTGAATTTTTCACAGATTTTCGACAGCTCACTGAGTTTATAAATAGGAATTATTACCTTCTACAACCTTTCGGTGGTGGAACCAATAAAAGCACCACTTTAAACTAGCAATTCAACTGACCGTGGAAATGTGAGGTATGTCTAAATGCCTCACATCATCTCTTATTTTCAATTTCGACCTACCGGTTGCCACACTATTGGCTACCGAGCGACTTTCAGACCAACAAGGCCCTGTTCAGCAATTCGACGTCTTCCCGTGAACCAGTCGAAATGAAAGCAATCTGGTTTCTGCGTTGAACTGATCCTATCTCCCGACCCCCTTTCCTTCCTCTCCAACTTCCCAGTTTCTAAGACACTCATGAGAACCGAACGCAGCCCTGACGTGCAGCTTAATTTATCAATCTAGATGCTATGCTTTTGCATTTGCACCCTCTATCTCATGGTTTTCACTCACTTATTCGAATGATTTAACAAATAAAGCTTCTCCATATGCTACTTTGCTTACGAACATCTAAGCAGCACTTAACCACATTTGGGTGGCAATCATAAACACTGCTACGCAACCACCTTTGAATCGGCAAGGAAAGTGATTGCACAAATCAGAGCGTAAACTTGATCCCTCCAATCTAGCAATCCAATGTCAAAAGGTAAATGCATACATGTATGCAATTTATTGTCCTCGAAGTCCAAGATATTTTTCGTGGATTTCACATTATGCTTACTGACTAGTATGATAAAGGTACAGTCTTGGCAGAGAAGTGGCTACCGCAAATAAAACTGCAAAAATGGGATTCCTTGTCGTACTACTTCTAGGCGAAGCATTTGATTGCACGAAGAGTTCGCTGACGAGGGTTGTTTTTACTATTGCATGCAACGAATGGGCTCCAAGTATGTGTAAATCGGAAATTTGCAACTCATTTTTGCCATTTAACGTATACTGCAGATTTTGGGTGGCCAGACTCATCAAAATGCGTCTTGGTCAAATTTTATTATTTTTTTAAAGAAATTTGTCTTGGCTCCAACACAAATGAACAACAGAGTGTTTCATTTAACTTGCATGACTTAGTGTAGCAACAACATCCCACATCTGAAGGAGGCAGCTCACCGAATGAAGGCACAAATTTGGAGTTTTAAGATGGCCCTTTGTTACTTGGATAAATAGTTGCACAAACAACTAAAGCATTGCATAATCTCCCGCCTCCCAGTGCTCCTCCCGTTTAGCTGTCACAAGGCAGTCATTGTTGTAAGAAAAAGCGCCTATGCGAGTCAGAGAAGAAAATGTTTGGTTGCCACGCCACTATTTCCCTTGGCGATTGCTCTAGACCCATCAAAGAAACCGGATTCATTTATTGGAAGGTGATAGCGGACACATGAAAATACGTCTACCGAAAAACTGTCAAAAATATAAGACTGAAATAGAACTTTTATGCCTATATCTCCCTGACGTATTTTTCCAGCTTGACGCTAAGTATCCACATCATCCTCGATGCGGTATCACGTGTTACCAGAAGCAAGCTTCTATTGCTAAAAGGGTATTATCTGCGTTGAAGAACTATTAAAATGATTTGTGGAGATCGACTAATTTTCGTCTATATTATCTTTCCTTAATGTCATTTTTATAATTTCTGAGAGCGTCCGACACACTCATATTTCGCACTTTCACAGCACGTCCTTGCAAAAAATCGAGCAAACAATTGAGGAGTTGAGAGCTTTTGGAAAAACACAAAACCCACTTTAACTTCCAAAAAGACAAATTCTTTT